ATACCTGTATGCTTTCTTTCAAAGCCTCTAAAAATAAGTTTTTTTTTTTCAGCTGTTTATTGTATTTATATGATAAGATCGATGACATCGTTGATATTACATTTATTTATAATCAGTTTATTGTTACATTACATTTGGCCTTAAACATTATAGCATCCAATACATCTGGAGAAAAATTAGCTGTATATACGTCGTAATTTTATTATACTAATCTTAATACATATTTACACATCTCTTTCGAGTTTTTTTTAAAGTTATTTATATTTTGCTCTATTACAAATAATTTCTCCCAACAGATATTTTATATATTCTAATATATTGCTTTTGATAATTAGAAATTAAAATAAAAGATAATATCTCGATATATATAAATATTAGATATTATTTACTTATAATTATCTTGTCAATAGCTGAATCTAAATTCAAAATTAATTATAATTAAAAAATTAATTAAGTTATAAAATTTCTATATATTTAATTTTAATGTATATATGCAAGTGAAAAAAATTAATATCATTAATTCTTAAACATCACGACTTTTTTATTTTATAAACACATAAGTAATATCGAGGATAATAGAAATTTGTGATTAAATAAAATACTTTCTAATGGATTGATAATTCAATTCGATAACTATATTGTCATCACGCAAGCATTAGCTTATAAATTTGTCTGATAAACGGAATCGATTTAAGGCTCCTGAGTAGTACAGCCATATTGAATCTTCTGACATCAGAAGCGAGAAATGATACGTTAATTCTTATTACATGCCATTTATAAATAAAGACAATTTGAATAAAACAAAATAATGAGATTGCTTCAAAACATTTGTAAAAATGGACAAAAATTGTGCTTATCCTGCCTGATAGTAAATAATCGTAAAAAGTGATAAAGGCACGTGTAAGTGAAAATAAGCTACGCATGCGCATTGAATAAAAGCACTTCGTGTGCCTTTCATCATTTTTTACGATTATTTACTTATTGTCAGGGGGGATAAGCATAGTTTTCGTTCATTTGGACAAATGTTTTAAAGCAATCTCATCATTTTTTTTATCCGAATTATTTTATTATTTATAAATAGCACATAATAAAAATATTAACGTGTTATTCCTCGCTTCTGACGTCACGATTCAATATGGCTGTGATGACTATTCAAGAGCTTTAGCATAAAATTTTAATCTGCAAAAAATTTATTGAACTTTAGTAGTTTAATGTTAGAAACGTGTCATCAGATTTAGTATCTTGTTATACAAAAGTTCTTTAACATCCTTAGCCCACATGAAATCCAGATGATTAAACTTTTTATATGGAACAAGGAATTTTCCAAGTGGATTGCCAAGTTCTTTCTCTAATTGATCAACATCCTGCAAATGATAAAGATATGATGTAAACACATAATAATTTTTTCTATATAATTGAAACTACATAGTAGTTTATTTAATTTTAGCGTCTCCAGTATTTTCAAGATACTTGTTCTAATCAAAATATATAGGAAAGTTTTATTTTGTATGTGCATATATGAAAAAATAAATATCCTTGAAGATATTTAAAATTGAATAAACTATTGTAGTATTATGTATTTAAAAAATACGAACATCGACATGTGCTAACCAATCGTTGGTGCTATAATGCAATGAAACTGGCACTTTGATTTTTCCCAAGTCATATTTCGGAGGACGGAACGTACCATATTTGATCAAATTAGTGATGAGTGAGTAGTCGTACTGTCTAAATTTCCCGGATATAATAATAGATCCTAAGAATACA